TGGTTTGCTAGTGAATTATTTTGACCTGAAGGCTTTGAACTCCAGACGCGGCTGCTGGGGGTGAAGGCAGGGCCTGGGGACAGTCAGCTGAGCTGTGATGAACAGGCTAATCATGAATTCCGAGATAAGCCAGGCCCCACCCAAACCCGGGACTCGAGTCTCCCACCTACTCCTCGGGCTGCATCATTCTGTAGCTCATTCTCTCCCCACAAGCAGCCTCTGTCTCCAGCCCTGTTACCAACCAATGCGGAATCCAAACTCCGCTTCGGTCATCTCTAACAGTTCTGTTAGAACTCAGGCCACCCTGTCCCAGGGCTCAGAGAGCAAGCGTTAGCCCAGCATAGATGGAGTCCCACCCCGTCTCCAGCATCAAATAAACCAGGCCTGCGGGGGACCCCTGGCATCTCAGTACTCACAAGTTGGAGGCAGAAGAATCAGTTAAAGGTAAACAGCTGCAGAGTGAAGTTGAGGCCAGCCTGGGCTACATTAGACTCTGTCTAAAAAGTAATAATAATGAAGAGAGGCTGGCCCGACGCCGCGGTGGTTAATGCACAGCTGCTGTACCACAGGACCTGGATCACTTCCCAGCATCCTCAGTAACTCCAGTCCAGGGGACCCCACATCTTCCCTGGACACCTCAGGCACCAACCATGGATGTTGTTCACAGACGTAATGTGGGGCAAACGTCCAAGCACGTGAAATTAGGGAGTAAAAACCAATGATTTTAAAAACACTAACGTGAAGTCGTAAATGAAGACTTGGGCATGTGGCTCAGAGGCAGGGTCTTTGGCAGACACCAGCAGACTCTGGATTTGGCGTCTAACAACAATTCAAAAAAAAAAAAGAAACAAAGTATGTGTTTCCCTGTCTGTTGCCGGCTTAACTCACAGGACCCCAAGAATTGAACATAAGATGGAAAAGGAATTTTTTTTTTCTGAGCCAGGCATGGTGATGTATATCTGTAACCTTAGCACTCAGAAGCTGAGGCAGGAGCATGGCAGGTTTGAGACTGATCTCCCCTGAGGAATGCAAGCTGAAAGACTCTGAGGGAGCCGCCGGCCCTCCATTTCAATAGCTTCCTTTCCTTTTTACGGTTCCCTTCCCCACAACCACTACAGGGCACCCTTCACGCCCTGTGAGCACTGTTGGGTCAGGGCCTGGGCCCATCAGGTGTTAAATATCATTGCTGCTCTCCACCCACTGCATGCCAGGAAACTGCCCAGCTGGATAAGCCACACATGCCTCCCCGACATTGGAATATTCCAGAACATTCCAGAATCACCACTAAGGCTGCCAGGACTCCTTTCAATGAGACAAGCGTTGGTACTTGAATAAAAACGAATAGAAATGTCTCTTCCTGACCCTGCAAGCTTCCTGTCATCTCATCAGGGGAGAGGGGGACATCAACCCTAGACACGCCTTTATAAGGTTGAGATTCTTGTTTTCTTTGAAAAAGATTTACTGGAGATAGTTTCTCTGTGTAGATCTGGCCGTCCTGGAACTCAGAGATCCGCCTGCCTCTGCCTCCCAAGGGCTGGGATTACAGGAAAAATTTTATCTTTGATGTGTGCATGCGCAGGCACCTGAAATGGCACCCGTGTGAGAGCGAAATAAGAGGACGATTTGTGTGAGTCACGCCTCTCCACCATGTGAAGTCTAAGACTTGAACTCGGGATGTCAGCATGGCTGCAGGCTCCTTTCTCCACAGAGCTGTCTTGCCGGCCCCCCTCCACCTGACTTATTTACTTTTAAAGATGTATTATGTATGTGTGTATGTCAGACTGAACAGAAAGTCCAGGCAATGGTGGCACACGTCTTAAATCCCAGCACTCAGGAGGCAGAGGCCCGTGGATCTCTGAGTTCGAGGCCAGCCTGAGCTACAGAGTGAGTTCCAGGACAGTCAGGGATACACAGAGAAACACTGTCTCCCCAAAAACAAATAAAGATGTTAGAATAAAGGTAAAATAAACAAACCAGATCTTCTAGCTGGATGTGGTCACCTTTAGCTGTCCTCTCAGCACCAGGGAGACAGGCGCAGGAGGATGGCAGGTTTGAGATCACACTTGGGTAAGAAAGACCCTTTCTCAAGAGCAAAAGACGGGTGACAGAGAAGCCTCGGGAAGTACAACGCTCACCCTGCAAACTTAAGGACCTGAGTTTTACCCCTGAACCCCATGTGAAATGCGGGGTGCAGTGGAATGTGTGCTCAATCCCTGCACTGGGGAGGCAGAGACAGGAGGATCCTGTAGCTTGCTGCCAGGCAGCCTAGCTAATCTGTGAGCTCCAGGTTCAGTGAGAGACCCTGCCTCAAAAAAATGAGGTGTGCCAGCCTCTGGCCTTCACATGCATGTATGTGACCATACACACACACACACACACACACACACACACACACACACACACCTGCCAGCCTCAAAAAGATGGATTGCATCACATAAACACTGAAACAGAATTTAAAGTCTGCATACACAGTAGTGCTCAAAAAATAAAATTTAGCCGGGCGGTGGTGGCACACGCCTTTAATCCCAGCACTCGGGAGGCAGAGGCAGGCGGATCTCTGTGAGTTCAAGGCCAGCCTGATCTACAGAGTGAGTTCCAGGACAGGCACCAAAACTACACAGAGAAACCCTGTCTCAAAGAACCAAACATAAATTAAAATTTATTTTATGTGTGTGGGTGTTTTCCTGTATATATGTCTATGTGCACCACATGTGTGCAGTACCTGCAGGTGCCAGAAGAGGGCACCAGATCCCCTGGAGCTGGAGTCACAGATGGAGCCACCACTGGGTGCAGGAATCAAACCCAGGTCAATGCTCTTAACCCTGAGCCACTCTCCAAGCCCCAGATACCTGCTTAGTAGGGGGCACTTCAGAGACAGAGTTGGGTAGCTACTGCCAGTCTCCCCGCATCCTTCCCACGGGCTGCTTCACCCCGGCAGCCGCTCTGTCCTATCCGGAGGCGGAGCTCCATCCTGTACAATGGAGGCAGTTTCTCCCCACCTACCTTTCCCTTTGGACGCCTCTGAAACGCTCCCTCCTGTCATCCCCATCACCACCAGGACCCCAGTTTCCCTCTGGTGACTTAAGAAGAATTGCGCTCCTCTCTACCACCTCCCATGACTGCCCACAGCCTGGAGGTGGGCATGGGGCTGGGTCTACAAGCTGTGTCTTGCAGAGGTGACCACCCTGGGTTTCAGTTCTCACGCCAGACCCCACCCTCCACTCGCGTGCTGGTGCCGTGGGTCTGTCTTGCACCAGCTCTTTCCTCTTTCCACTCTGGGCTGCATAGCCCCGTCTTTGGAGCACTTTCCCAGGGGAGCCTCTTCCTTTGGGGGCCTCTGTTAGCACCATGTCACAGTCAGGACTGCTTGTCACCCTTCCTGAAACGTCACTGACAGCACCAAGTGTTTCTTTGGTCTACCTTGTGACATTTATCCATTTACTGATCAGTGCAGGTGTGTGTGTGTGTGTGCGTGTGTGTGTGTGTGTGTGTGTGTGTGTGCGTGTGTGTGTGCGTGTGCGTGGGTGGGGGGTGAGGAGAGACAGGAAGGCGGGGGTTCACATGTGGGCGTCAGAGAGCGCCCTTGGGTGTTGTTCTCTTTGTTTTTTGATCTTGAGTGTGTCAGGCTGGCTGACCGGCAAGCTTCTGGGGTTGTGCGTCCTGTGGAGCCTTGAAGTACGGGCATTCTGGACAGACTCTGCGTTTGGCTCCACGTGGATCCTGGGCCATCCCTCTGCACACTCTCACAAGTGATTTATTTCCTCACTGAACGTTTTTCGTTTTTCTAGACAGGGTTTCTCTGTGTCGCTTTGGAGCCTGTCCTGGAACTCACTCTGTAAACCAGGATAGCCTCCAACTCAGAGATCCTCCTGCTCTGCTTCCCAGTGCTGGGACTAGGGACCACCACCGCCGGGCAACTGAATCCTTTTTATAAAGTTTTTGAGACAGGTTCTCAGGCTGGCTTCCTGTTGATAATCCTGTTATCAGCCTCCTCAATGCTGTTTTAAAATTTGCCGTTTACTCCATGCTGCGGGTGCCTGGGTGTGGAGGTCGGAAGTCAGACCTCTCCCTGCGCTATGTGGGGCCAGGGAATCAAACTGGGGGTGGCCAGGGTGGTGGCGAGCGGACGGCCCACTTCTGGTTCTGTTTCACAGCCAGGATCTCTTTTAGCTCAGGCTGGGCTCAAAGACCCTACCCTGGGCAGAGGATGACCTTGAACTTCGGGTCCTCGGGAGAGGCTGGGCCACTACTTCCAAGTGTGAGCGCTGTGGGGGAGACCCGAGGGCTTCTGGCCTGCTAGACCAGACAGCTCTCTACCCACCGGGCCAGGCTGGCCTGCCCAGCCGCACCCCGGGGGCCACATGCCAAGCCTCTAACCCTCCCAGGTGGCACCACGCCCCGCCGGGCTGCCAGCTCGGGCGGTGACCGCTCCCTGCCCTCTGCCTCCTGCCAGGAACAGCCCGTCCCGGCAGAGGTTGCACTAGGATTTATTTTTGTGGTTTTCTCAAAGCCGGCGGAGCCCGCCCCCTTCCACGTCTGTCTGCGGAGCGGCGGGAAGTCCTGGCGTCGGAGCCCCCGGGAGCGGGGCTCAGCCGCAGGCCCCGGGCAGTGCGGCGGCTCCCACCGGCCACCGCGGGGGACACACGGCCGCTCGCTCACCCGCGAGGCTCCCACAGGCCGGATCGAGGCTGATCTCCTCGGTCCAGAGAACACAGCGGCACAAACCGAGCGCGGCGACGCCCGCCCGCCGCCCCAGCACCCCACAGCCTGGGGTGACCGGGACCTCAAGACACCCAGAAGCCACGCCCCACGCAGGCCACGCCCCCAGGGCCCTCCCGCGGGGCACGCAACCCCGCCCCTCCGGGTCCGGAGCTTGTTTTTCTGGGGCTTGGCTTCCCTCTGGTGACGTCACTCCCCGGGACCCATCCAGGGGGTGCGCGGGAGGGAGCCCGGGGACCAGTGACTCAGGACCTGGGGCAGCCGCCCTCCGCTGCCGCCGCTGCAGAGTTTTCAACTTTTATTAAATCCTTACAAAACAGAATACAAAATCCTGGCGTTGACAGTTGGTGGGCAGGGGTCGGCAGCAGTCTCTCCCCGGTGGGTGGCGCTGAAAGTGCTTGCCCGTCTAAACACGGTCTCTTTACAGAATTCAGCATGGTTTGTGGCCAGGCCGCCCCAGATCTTCTCATTCACAGTTAGGGGTCTGACCCGTCTTCCAGGTCTGGCACGGAAGGACCAACACTGCTCACCGTCCAGTCAGGTTGCTTCTAGAACCTGCAGGGCGAGTCCTCGAGTGCCCAACAGCTGAATCATGCTGATGGTCGAGAACTGGGGCGCCCGGGAGCCCCCCACCCTCCAGGGGGTCTTTGGAAGTGTGTCCAGAGGCGGGCAGGACTGAAGGCATGTCACCCCCCACTGTGACGACCCTATGAGACTAGGGAGGAGGGCGCTGGGCAGTGGGTGTCCCAAGCCCCCGCCCACCAGACCCCCGACATTCAAGTACTCTTCAATAACAGGGAAGCAAGTCAAATTATGTCTTTAAAAAAAAAAAAAAGAGCCTAAACTAAACTTGACGAACAATCTTGACCAAGGAGTTTTGAGGCCAGGGGCTGCCCTGGAGACACCTGAGCAGTTGCAGGGCGGGGTGGCCTGGCCCCTGACGCCGCCCCCGACCAGCAGGGCAGGGCCCCGAGGAGGAAATGGGGTCTCATATTGCATAGTAACTGGTGGCGGGAAAGAGCCCCAGGCCCGGGCCTGCAGCGCCACCCCAGTGCCTTCCCAGCCGCTCCTGGATGCCCACGGGAGGCCGAGGCAGCGTCAGCCCCTTTCCTGAAGGTAGGCACACCCAAGTCACTGCCCTTGGGGGCAGAGGGAAGGTGAGGGACCTCTGGGTGCGACTGCAGCTCTGGGTAACAGAAGCAGCCAGGAGAGCTCATGAACTCCAGACCCAGGGCAGCCGAGGGCAGGACATGGCCGTGGTCAGGCTGAGCCCTGAGAGGGGGCACTCAGGTGCCCTGGGTGGGGAGACACGTGGGGACCCCACGTCTGCTGATGTGGGCCTTGGCCAGCACCTCTCCTGCCTTGGTGGGGCTGGCTGGATGCAGGGTCCTCCTCCACGTCTGCCCCTGGCAAGTGGATTGGGAGCAAGAGCTACGCGGCCTGGAGGAGATTCTGATTGTCAACCCTCCAAGGGACGGGGCAGGTAGGGATGGGGACTGGGGGTCAATCAGGTGCATTGTCCCCATCCACCCGCCCCCCAGAGGACTCTGTCCAGGACAGTGGAGTTCCATGCCCCAGATCCAAGGGTGCTCTGGCGGACTGTGCTCCCCAGGAGAGCCTGTCTGTCCCTGACAACACTGGGGGGCAGGGAGAGTGCGGGGTGCTGACCCTGCGGGACCCCAGCCCTGGAAGACAGCGGAGTAGCCGGAGTGGAGGTGGGGGCGCAGGCGGCATGGCCTTCACAGTTGACAGGCGAGCATCGCGGGGTGCGGGCCAGTGGCCGGCACCCTCCGCCCTCCTCCTGGGCACTTGCTTTCAATAGTGGTAAAAGGAAAACCAAACAAAACAAAGCCAAAGGCAGGACCGGGCTGAGGACAGGAGAGAGAGAGAACGCCTCCCAACAGAGCCAACCCACACCCCAGCAGGACCCGGGCACCCCGGGCCCAGCCTTCAGGCCCTGCAGGGCAGGGCGTATGTACAGGGGGCTGGTGGGGTCACGCACGGTCCCCCACAAGGACCACGGGGGTGCCGGACAGGCTGGCCCTCTGGCGCCGCTGGGCCAGCTTGGACTGGGAGGGCGGGGACAGCCGCAGGCAGCGTGAGGTAGCGCGGATGACCACAGGCTGGTCCTGCCCAGCGTCCTCCTCACACTGGGCCAGCTGCCGGTTCATGGCAATGGCCTCAGCCGCGAAGGATGTGAGGTCTTTGGCACAGCTGTTCCTGGGAACAGGATGGGGGACTGTCACAGAGTGTGCCTTCCTTCTCTACAGCCCTGGGGAGGTGCCCACCCCGGTTCCAGTGCCCTTCCTTCCAGGTACCAAGGCCCTAACAGGAGCTCCCGAGACACCTCCCACACCACAGCACTCAGGCCCCCGGGGCCCTGACATCCCGTCGCTCAGGTACCCACTGAACATTTGCAGGGCTCTGGCTTAGGGGCCCCTAGCACCCCAGAAAAACAATCCCAAACACACTCACCCCCCAAGACCCGGGGCTCACCTCTGCAGAACCAAGGGTGTTGGTAGGGTGTTCTCCGGGGCGCACTGCAAGAGGGCAGAGCCGTCGGGGTCAGAGGGCACTGGAAGGGCCTGGCTAACGTCAGCCATGCTCACCACTGCCAGAGCCCACCCACAGGCCCACACTCTGTCCAGGTAAACCTCTGCACAGTTCCTGGCTCACCCCACCCCCTTGTCTGTCCCCAGAAGGGGCGTGAGCCACACTGGCCTGGGGACTCTCAGGGACACCAGCTTCAGCATTAAGACAGCTCAGGGCCTGCAGGCTGGGCCTCACTGGGGGGTCCAGCTGGGCAGGGAGGGTGCTTGCTGGGATGGGGCTGGGGCTCGGGCACCCTCCACAGACCCCACGGCTCACCCCCTGCACCCACGGGTGCTGCAGGACTTGGGCAGCGCTCAGCCTCTGCTTGGCGTCTCGGACCAGCAGCTTGGAGATGAGGTCTTTGGCGGCGAAGGAGATATGGGCCCAGTCCTTGTCGGGGAACTCATACTTCCCCTCCTGGATGCTCTCAAACAGCATGTTCTGTGGGGGGAGGGGAGAGCGTGACCGACGCTGGAGAAGGGCCTGAGACAGACAGACCGACATCAAGAGCGCTCAGTGGTTAGAGCACGGCCTGCTCTCACAGAGGATCCACGTCGTTCTCAGCACGCACAACACGGCTCCAACGCCAGTCCCGGGGGACGCAAGGCCTTCTCTGACCTCCACGGGCACCGGGCATTCGTACAGTACACACACACACATGCAGCTAGCGCGCGCATGTACGCACACACACACACCCCCACACCCACAAAAAAAAGGCGAAGAGACGGGTGGGGCCCGGGGGTCCACTGTGAGGTCCTGGTTCCTGGGGACAACTACAGCACCTTACTCCTCGCTCCAGGGAGCCTGGGTCGGGGAGGGGACGCTGGCAGGCGCACCTGGCAGGCTGGGCAGGCCTCTCCTCGATCCCAGCCACAGTCACTGCCACAGTGGCCCACGAAGGGCGGGTAGCCGCTGAGCAGGATGTAGAGGATGACGCCCAGGCTCCACAGGTCGCAGCGCTTGTCATAGATGCTGGCCTCCTCACTGAAGGCTTCCACCACCTCTGGGGCCATGTACTCAGCTGACCCACACTGCGGGTGGGGCGGGCACCAGTCAGGAGGGACACCTGAGGTCCAGCCAATCAAAGGCCGCAAATGTATCCCCATATGGGCAGGTGATGCGGCCGACTCCACCCCCAGCCCGCCAACTAACCCGCGGCTGTTGCTAAGCAGAGGGCCACGCTGGCAGGGGAAAGCTGCAGAGCCAGCCTGGCACCTGAGCCCAGCGCCCGCCCCGCCCGCCCGCCCTCACCGGGGTGAGCAGCTCAGGCGTGGAGATGGGAGAGCAGTCGCCATTGAGTTTGATGCCACTGCCCAGGTCAAAGTCGCAGATCTTCACCGGCGAGACCTGGGGGTGTGAGCATGGTGGGAACCCCGGCCTGCATGCTCCCCCCCAAGCCCTCTAGCCTCCCGGGGGAAGGGCAGTGCCAGAGCCGGGTAGGGCTAGTCAGGCGCCTCACCTGGTTGGGGTGCTCACACAGAATGTTCTCTGGCTTTAGGTCCCTGTGGGCGATGCCTAGGGAGACAGAGCAGGGAGTTGGGGGTGGGGGGTGCCTCTAAAGCGGCCAGGACCTGGGGCGAACTCCACAACCCCACCACACCTTTGTTATGCAGGAAGTCCAGGGCACTGGCCACGTCCTGCACCACCACGCTGGCCTCCAGCTCGTTAAAGTGGCGCCTTCTGTGGATGTGGCTCAGGATGGACCCTGCGGTGCAGGTCAGGGACAGCTAGGTCACCTCCGTAGACCCACCAGCTCCCAGTCCCGCCTCCACTCCATCACGGATACCCCAGGGCTTCTCTGGGCCCAGGCCCCATTCCAAGTCCTCCACCAGCACCCTCCCCACCAGCACCCTCCTCCACCAGCACCCTCCTCCTCCACCAGCACCCTCCTCCACCAGCACCCTCCCCACCAGCACCCTCCTCCACCAGCACCCTCCTCCACCAGCACCCTCCTCCACCAGCACCCTCCTCCTCCACCAGCACCCTCCTCCACCAGCACCCTCCTCCTCCACCAGCACCCTCCTCCACCAGCACCCTCCTCCTCCACCAG